ATGCTGCTGTTCAGTGTGCACCAGACTTGACAGAGGCAGAATGCAATGACTGCTTGGGTGGCGCTATTTCAGAATTACCAAAATGTTGTAATAGCAGATCTGGTGGAGTGGTTATTAAATTCAGGTGTAATTTCAGATACGAGAACTTCAGTTTTTATGAGCCTATGGCTGACACACAAACGCTACAGTTGTCACCAAAAGGATCTCCATCTCCTCCTTCACCTTCACCATTCACCACTAAAAATTCCCCGGAGAGTACTTATCATGGTATTAATTGTTACATGGTTAGAAGTGAATATATTGATCATCAAGTAGCATCTATTTGGCCCAAGTAAAACTTCACACATAACTACATATGTTGGAAATAATTTCTTTTACTGTTATTCCAAGGTAGGAAAGAAAAAGATTGTAACTAAGTACTATAGTTGTTTCAGACTTAAAAAATCTAGAAGCTTTGTGGTATCTTGAATTGTTTGTCTCTCGACTAGTTCATGAATAAATTGAGGGTCTTCAAATAAAGATTATATAAACACGAAGAGTACTTGGTTTATGCAGGAAAAAAAAATAAGCAAATCAAAGCTTGTCATCGCGAAATAACTTGCTGCCTATTGTCTTTTTGGGGTTTGCTATATTATTGGCATATATTTAGGAGTGCGGAAGCCAAGAAAATATTTTCAGAGTAAGTTCAGATATTTATTTAACGTTTGATGTAAAGAGTCAATTAATATTTTCTATTCTATTTCTTTCTTTGATAGTTTGAAACCTAATAAAAATACGAAGAAACGATAGCTGTTTTATTTTTCTCCTCGTTGACGTGAGATATTTCAAAGAATGGGATTTTGTTTGTTAAAATATGTACTAAACTATAAGTTAAAGAACATAATAATTTTCTAGAATCAATTGCTTACATGTTCTACTCTAAAACCCCCTTCCCATCCAGGTGAAGCTAAGGTTGATGAAGAGTCGTTACTAATAAACTTGGACACCATCAGAGTCGGTACAAAAACTTCTCCGCCGCCAAACAAGATTGGACAGGTGGCTTTGGACGTGGTTTAACAAGGTAAACATTGCATCATTACAATGAAAGTATTTGTATAACAAATATTGCAGGGAAAGATTGTTGGCCAATTTTAGATGCATAAACACTGTTCTGTTACTAATCAGGGGAAGCTCTTCAATGAACAAGAAGTAGCGATCAAAAGGTTATGTAGCATTTCTGGCCAAGGAGATGCTGAGTTCAAGAATGAAGTGCTTTTAATGTCAAGGCTTCAACACAGAAATTTAGTAAGGCTCCTTGGTTTCTGTTTGAAAGAGAAGAACGTCTCCTTGTCTATGAGTTTCTTCCCAATAAAAGCCTTGACAACGTCTTATTTGGTAAGTTGACTTCTTAAACTGGAAGTCCTTTACATTACATCTTTTGCATGACTGAATGAAGAAAGGTTTTGACTCTAGTTTAAAAGAAATTTGGAATGATTGCACCATGTAGATCCCATCAAGCGCGCACATTTGGATTGGAAAACACGCTACAAAATAATTGAAGGCATTGCACGCGGCCTTCTATATCTTCATGAGGATTCTCAGCAGAGGGTTATTCACCGTGATCTCAAATTGAGTAATATTCTTTTAGATGCAGATTGAATCCAAAAATTTCAGATTTTGGCTTTGCAAGACTTTTTAATGTGGATCAAACTCAGGTTAAAGCAAGTAAAATTGCTGGAACCTAGTAAGTGTCAAGATATATAAAACATTTTAGTTTCTAATCTGTATCCTTGAGTGATACAGGTGAGGAGCCTGGATTATTATCAAGAAAAGGGTAATGTTTGTAATTTGTATCTAATTGAGGGTATCCTTATTGAAATGCAGCGGATACATGGCACCTGAGTATGCAAGGCATGGAAAACTCTCAATGGAAGTTAGATATTCGTTTTGGCTGTAACTATAGAGATTGTAGGTGGTCAAAAGAATGTTGGATTCCAATGGAGAGATGTGGAGCATTCTAATAAGCTTTGTAGTCTCCACGTTATCCTCTGTCTTTATAATGTGATAAAAGAGCATTAGGCATTAATGAAATGGTAGATTTCTAGAAGCAGAGAAAAATGGGGGGACTAATGTTCTGTTGTAAAATGAATACTGTCAGGCTTGACAAACTGGATGAAATGGGCGAGAGCTAATATTAGAGTCCCACCTTAAAATAATGCTTGGGAGCTTGAAATACGGAGAGCATTCACATTGGACTACTTTGTGTTCAAGAAAAGGTTGCTGATAGACCAACAATGGCTTCGGTGGTCCTTATGCTTGATAGCCACTCTTTCGCTCTACCAGTTCCATTGCAACCTGCCTATTTTATGATTACTAGATGTTCATCGGTCATCCAGTTCTCGGAGTTCGGTTCTGTGCAAACAGGATCAAATGAACAGAAAATTGACTCTGCTGATGCATCCACAAACGAGGCTTCAATTAGTCGTTATATCCTCGTTAAATGTAAATTATATGATCATGGTCAAAAGTAACAACCATAAATGTACCAGGAAAAATAGTTTTTTAGTGCTTTCATTACAAAGAAATGTATGTTAAATTGACCGGTAATGCATGTGTGAATTTTGGTCCAACACTTACTGCCGTGACCAAGACGCATGACAGATGAAACTCTGACATCTTCTAAGACGTGAGGACTGGGCAGAAAGACTAAGTATATATACTTTTACAGTTCACTATTATTATGTCGCAATTTCTAGGTAAAAGACAAATTGTTAAATTGTCGCAGCGTGGACTAAGATTCCAGCTGGACTGCCATTTAAAAAGAAAGAAATAGTTATTTTTAGTTAAAAAATTATAATTTAATATTGTTTGTAAAGAATAGACTATAATGTAGATTGTAAAATATTATTAGAATTAGAATTCAAAACAATAAATCATTGGATTGGAAGTGTTTGGTTGGGAAAAAACATATAACAGAAAGAAAAGTTTTTATCTAAACTTTTATTTGACGAATTGAAATTTGTAATAATGAATTAATTTATTTTTCTTTCCTTACACTACTTTGGTTGAAATTCCTAGACTCGTCTTGGATCATTATCTGCCTTAAATGCCAGCCACACTGGTTCTGGAGTCATGTATGTTGATGCTGGAACGAATAGCACAAACATTGTACAGCATTGTCTCTGAAACAGTGCTCTTTTTCATGTCCATTCTTGGTTTATATCTGAAGCTGTTGCCGAACCAGACTACCAATGACATTACACACTTGCTACCACAGTGGAGGATATGATCCTAATACCACCTACCACAATAGACCTCAACACTGCATCTTCAGGCTTCACTTCTAACACCCAAATTGATTATGGCTCCTACAACTCCTCCTATGGCCAAGACTCTGATAGAGTCTACGCAACTGGCCTTTGTAGAGGAGATGTTAGCCCACATACTTGCCTTACTTGCCTCAACCATTCTACTTCCCTTCTCATAAAGCACTGTCCACGTCAGAAGGAAGCTGTGGGAGGATTTGATTTATGCATGTTACACTATGCAGATCACTCGATATTTGGTTACCAAGACTCTAGTTTGCGCGTTTATTTTTGGTGGGAAACTAATGTAACAGATTGGAATCAGTACAGTTATGTGCTGAACAAGTTGCTGTTAAAACTAAGAGAGAAAGCCGCATCAGCTGACTCCTTTCACGGAAGTAAATTTGCTGCAGGAAATGCAACAGGTCCGAGTATGAAACTGGTACGCCCGTGTTCGTCTCACCTGAATTGACTGTGGCAGCGGGACGACTGTTAGGTGGGCATTTCAGAAATATCCAATTTGTAATCAAGAATAGGTTGCGCAGTGTTAAATTAAAGCTGTTAATTTCAGATATAAACTCCAGCCTTCTGAGCCTACTGCGGATACCACTAGCCACTACAACTGCCACCAAAGGATTGCATGTCCTCTTCATCATCACCTCTTTTTGTTTTTTACACCTATCCACCATTCAAACTCTTCCGAGATTTCTTATCCTGGTATTAATTGTTATTAGTTCAGCATGGTTTGAATGACTAATGATTCGCATTTAGTTACATCTTAGTAAAGTTAAAACCTCTCTCGGACATTATATGTCGAGGGAGATTTTATTATTTTCGTAAACAATAGGGTATTTTAGACTTAAAAAATTCAAAGCACTTAGACCTCTGTTTGGTGACTAAATTTTGATATCTCTCTGACGAGGATTTTTTACCCAGAAGAGATGTTCGGTTTATGCAGGAAAGAGCAACAGACCACAACCTGTCAACGCCAAGTACGTTGTGCCAGTTCTTGTCTTTACTGGGATGCTGATTTTTATTTGCATCTATTTAAGAGTCAGGAAGTCAAGAATATATAGTAAGTTCAGATGTTTAATTAATCTGTTGTATAAGAGTCGATATTTTTTCCTGCAAGATGAATCAATTTTCCTTTTCCTTTTTCTTGGCATTGACAAGGAATATGACATTTAAGAGAGATTTTCTCTAAAATAACTTTACTAACAGGGAGTTAGGAACAAAAATCAAAAAGGGAATACAACTATTTTTGATAAATTAATTGCTTACATATGGTACTTGATCTATTGAATAATTGCCTTGGAAAATATTACTTTTTCATGCTGGACTTTTAATTTCCATTTGACAAACTCAACTGTAATAGCTTAAAACTATCTCCCCCATCCAGGTGAAGCTAAGGTCGATGATGAAATTATACAATTAGAGTCATCACGATTTGACCTTGACACCATCAGAGTCGCTACAAACAACTTCTCTGAATGAAAACAAGCTGAGGGGACAAGGAGGATTTGGACCTGTTTACAAGGTAACCATTTCCACCCTTACGATTGTAAATTTATGTAATTGTCAAAATGTTGATTGTTGACAATTTTCATGCACGAACCAAGTACCCATGATATTCAGGGCACGCTCTTCAATGAACAAGTAAGTAGCAGTAAAAGGTTATGTACAGCAACTCTGGCCACGGAGATATTGCGTTCAAGAATGAAGGACTATTATGTCAAGGCTTTCAGACACCGAAACTTAGTTAAGCTCCTTGGTTTCTGTTTGAAAGAGAAGAACGACTCCTTGTCTACGAGTTTCTTCCCAACAAACGGTCTTGACAACCACATATTTGGTATGCATGTTTTTACTTTATACCGCTAGTCAATCACATAATTTCTTCTGCATGACTAATTGAAGAAAGATTTTTACTCTAATTTAAAACATTAAGTCATTTTACTCATTGGCAAATAGATCACATCGGGAGAGCACGATTGGATTGGAAAAAACGCTACAGTATAATTAAAAGCATTGCTTATGGCCTTCTTTATCTTCATGAGGATTCTCAGCAGAGGATTATTCACCGAGATCTCAAATTGAGCAATATTCTTTTAGATGAGGACATGAATCCTAAGATTTCAGATTTTGGTTTTGCAAGGCTTTAATGTGGATCAAACTCAGTTAATGCAAGTAAAATGCAGGAACCTTGTAAGTATCAAAATATTATAAGCTGTTTTAGTTTCTGATACGTGTCCTTAACTAGTACAGTCGAGGAGAATGGACTATTGTCCAAAGAACAGGTAATGTTTGTTGGTAATTGAGCCTGCTCTTATTGACATGCAGTGGATACATGGCACCTGAGTATGCAAGACACGGAAAACTCTCCATGAAGTTAGATGTCTTCAGTTTTGGTGTAATAATGCTAGAGATTGTAAGTGGCCAAAAGAATGGTGGATTTCGTAATGGAGAGAACGTGGAGCATCTATTAAGCTTCGTATGTCTACCCTTTTAATCTTCTCTGACTTTGCAAGGTTTATAACGGAGAATTAGGCAGTAACTAATTTAAAATGGTAAAAGTGAAAAACTGGAACTAATGTTTTTTCATATCAACTTATTGCAGGCTTGGAAAAACTGGACGAAAGGGAGAACAGCAAATATTATAGATCCGACCTTAGAAAATGGTTTGAGATTTGAAATAGTGAGATGCATTCACATTGGTCTACTTTGTGTTCAAGAAAAGGCTGCTGATAGACCAACAATGGCATCAGTGGTGCTTATGCTTGATAGCCACTCTTTTGCTCTACAGCTCCATTGCAACCTGCTTATTTTATGAAAAATAGTCGTTTAACAGTTACCCAATTTTCGAGGTGTAGTTCTATGGAAACAGGGTCGAGTGAACAGAAAAGTTACTATGCTGATGGATCAGCTAACGAGGCTTCAATTAGTAGTCTATATCCTCGTTAAATATGAAACTCATGATTATACTCAAATGTAATGATCGTTACTGCAATTAAATGTAACAAGCTATACAGATACACGGTCTTTTCTAGTGCTAAAAAGGTTGAAGAATTTGTTCAACGGACATTCTGTAAAAATGATCTACTATTCTGATTCTCTTTAAATACATTCATTTATTTGATTCATTAGTGTATTTAATAGGAAATGCAAGATTAAAGGCGGGCGGGTATGGGTGGAGGAGATGCATTTCATTTTGTAGACAATAAAAAAATAAGCAGCGAAGATGGTTGTTTGAAGAACTTATCTGTAATTGTTTTTAGTAAAAAGATAAAAGTATTAGTTTTAACTTATAAAATACATACTTTACTTTTTTTTCTCCTTTTTTTTCTCCTAAACATATTTAGAGAGAAAATTATGCACACAAATCCAAGATAAATATTTCCATACAAATTTTACATTGTTTTTATGAATGACTAGATAAAGAAAAGGTTTTTCTGACTCTAAACTTTAAATAATTGTGCTCATGTCGGCATTAAGATCCCACGAAGCATGCAGATTTCGATCCTTTTGCTTATAAAAATTTTTTAGAGTCCAGTAAACATTTTCATATATATTTTTTTAATGGATGCTACCCATTCAAAGTAAGGACTTGGTATTGTTTTATTGAGCGGTAAATTAATAATTTCTTCCTAGAGTGATACGTAGCTGACATGGTCTTTCTATAACACAAGCAGAAACAAACTCAGGAGTTTCTGAATTTAAAAAAGGATACAAATTATAATCACAATACGTAAATCAAAATTTAAAGCATTTCACCTCGTCTGAACAAGAACAGTTCAAAGCATTAAGAACACGCATGGCCCAGTCTCAGTTTTACAGTTTCTTCCGTTCCCAAACATATGTGACCTCTTCCTCCAATTCTATGATAAA